CTTCTATGGTCATTGAGAAAATTTTTATGGTCTCATATATATACATACAGTCGGACCTATATTTAACGAAGTCACTAAATCCCGAAAAAAAGTTCGTTATATGGAAAATTCGTTAAATAGAAAATCATCTTTTGAAATACTTACACAACGTAGAATAGGTTTTAAATTCATGGATACTAGAAATAATTAAAATTGCAATTGATACACCTTTATCTTGTAAATTATTATCAATTATTTATTTTATAAATCTTACCCATAAAAGAAATCTGCAATGAAAGTAAGAATAGAACAAAACATTATCCAGTGTGTTATACTATCATGCTACATATATTTTCCCCTGAATAAAAATGCTAAATTTTTATATATTAAAATTATTGCTGCATTTATTATAAATGTAATTTTAAACATACATTTTCACATGCATTCTTAATTTTAATTACTATTGATAAAGTCTGTTAATTTTGTCTGAGTTTTTTGTTTGTAAAAGTGTTTTTTCTCATAATAGGTCTCGCATTTTTGTAATGCACCAAAAATTCCTTCAGGCGTATTCTCCTCAAACTGCAATCCACGTCGAATTGTTTCAAATGATTTTAACATTTCATCATATGAAGGTTTGCTAATTTCTTCATCATTTCCGTCTTCATCTTCTTCGTCTTCCTCACAATTTATAGCTGTATTGTTTTTATTTTTCACAAAGTCCAAAATATCTGATTCAGTTAATGTTTCGGTGGTTTCAGCTTCAGAATCAATAGAAAGAAAATCATTTATCCGTACATCATCGTCAATTTCGTGGTTTTCTCTTAGCTGTACCCAAATTTTTTTAAGTTCCTCTAAAGGAATATCATCCTCGTCCTCACTCTCCAAATTCTCAGCGTTGACAAAGAATCCAGCTTTAGCAAAACAGTTACGAATGGTACGATCTGTAACGTCATAGTTCCATGCTTTTTCTGTTATGCTTGCTCACAAATTGATCTTTGGCACTGATTGCTTATTTTTAAGCGCAGTGATAACTTTTCGTAAAATTCTTTTGCGGTAGTGCAGTTTAAAGTAATGAATCACCCCTTGATCCATTGGTTGTAGCTTCGATGTAGTGTTTGGAGGCAAGTAAAAAACAGAAATGTTTTTCAGGTTTTTGTTGATTTCCTTCGGATGGGCAGGACAATTGTCGAAAATTAGAGCAATTTTGCGATGCTCTGCAATCATAAGTTTGTCCAATTTTTGAATCCATTTTTCACAAATGTCTGCCGTCATCCATGATTTTTTGTTGAATTCATAATCAATCTCCAAAGATTTTGTGCCCTTAAAACATCTTGGAGTTTTGCTTTTTCCTATAATTAAGGGTTTTAATTTTTGATTGCCAGTCATATTTGCCCCTAGCATGATAGTTATTCTTGCCTTGCTGTGTTTTCCTCCAAAGCATTTTTCATTTTTAAATGATAGGGTCTTTTGAGGCAAATATTGAAAAAATAAAGCCGTCTCATCAGCATTAAAAATGTTTTCTGGCTTATAATCTCTTAAAATTTTATTAAGAGTCTCTGCAATCTTTCATAGTCCTTATCACTGACGTCATTACTTTCACCAGACATAACTTTTCCTACAATTCCTTTTTTTCTTTTAAACTTGTCAAGCCATCCACTACTTCCTCAAAATTCATCGTGTCCCAATGCCTTTGCAAATTGCATTGCTTTCTCGGTTATTAAAGGTCCAGAGATCGGCACGTTTTTATCTCGCATTGCGTGTATCCACTTCAAAACTGCCTCATTCACATCTTCATAGACACATGTTTTCAAGCGTTTTGAACAAGGATTTGGTAAATCATTGTTTTCAATCTTATCACGGTTTCTTATTATCGTTGAAAAGCTGCTTGAAGGAATACCAAATTTTGATGCAATATCTTTTTTCTTCATACCTCTATCCACTTCTTGAAGAATTAAATTTTTTCCTTTAATGGTCCGGCACTTTTGCTTCGACGTTTTGCAGCCGCAAGAAAAGCAACAAGCAGCACTCTGATCAGCAATCAAAAAACAGGAGGCGATTTCGAGAACTGAGCTCTACTGAGTGAACAACGAAAATGTTGGAAGTTTTTCTAGAAAGGAAGTGAACAGTGGGGGTGGGGATAATAGGCCATGTCAATAAGGGACCAGGGACCACACACTTTGATGACCAATTCCCATTATCTTCTCTGCTCATTTCCTATTCAAGGAATTTGACCCTTTCCGTTGCATTTCCTTTATGAATTGCAAACAAAAAGGGAAAGGAATTTTACTGCTTTCTCTAAAAGTTAAAGGGATGCGAAAATCAGTTCAAGTCCCCCATAAAATGCGTCAACAAGTTAATAATTTTCTCAAATATTTTGTCCTTTAGAGCATTTTTTGAGATTTATAGGGCATTTTTTTTGTTAGAAAAAANCTTATTATCGTTGATAAGCTGCTTGAAGGAATACCAAATTTTGATGCAATATCTTTTTTTTTCACACCTCTATCCACTTCTTGAAGAATTAAATTTTTTCCTTTAATGGTCAGGCACTTTTGCTTTGACGTTTTGCAGCCGCAAGAAAAGCTACAAGCAGCACTCTGATCAGCAATCAAAAAACAGGAGGCGATTTAGAGAACTGAGCTCTACTGAGTGAACAACGAGAATGTTGGAAGTTTTTCTAGAAAGGAAGTGAACAGTGGGGGTGGGGATAATAGGCCATGTCAATAAGGGACCAGGGACCACACACTTTGATGACCCATCCCCTTTATCTTCTCTGCTCATTTCCTATTCAAGGAATTTGACCCTTTCCGTTGCATTTCCTGTATGAATTGCAAACAAAAAGGGAAAGGAATTTTACTGCTTTCTCTAAAAGTTAAGGGGATGAGAAAATCAGTTCAAGTCCGCCATAAAATGCGTTAACAAGTTAATAATTTTCTCAAATATTTAGGGAAATGGGGAAAGTAGATCTAAAAAAAAATTCGTTAAATAGAAAATTCACTTAGCTATTTAGAAGTTATTTAACGAAGAAATTTCCAAAATGCTCTTGGTTCCAAGGAAAAATTCGCAAAACAGAGAAATTCGTAAAATGGAAGTTCGTTAAATAGAAGTCCGTCTGTATATATATATATGACCATGCTTTTAAGTGTTATGTATGAAGTTAGCAGTTATAAAATAGGTTGCCATAGACTTGGTAATGCTTAAAGCTGGCAATGCTTTGGCAATGAGTGCAAGAAAAATTGTTTGTTTTTTAACCCACTGGCGGTTAAGGAAATGGGCAAAATTGGGAGAATGTTTCTCCCCTACACACAGTTCCCCTATCAGTTAACATGGGAAAACCGGTTTTGCTATGCAGAGAAGACTGCAGGTTAAAATGCGACTTTTTACATGCAGAACCGTCAGTGGGTTAAAGAAGAAATGTGTTTTTTTCCTTTTCTAACTTAGTCATTATCCTTCAGAAAATATTTTAATAAACATATTTATATAACAAATTCATTTTAGATTTAGATGAACTTTTGGAATTGTGGCTCTATATATTATGCTTTTTTCAAATATAATAAAAAGTTTTAAAGTAATCCTATTTTCAGTGTTTATTTAGTAAATTTCAAAATATTTAATATTAACTTAGAAAATATAGAAAAAAATTGTGGCATTGCTACAAATGGTTATAACAAAAATTCTAAAAATTTATTGAGATGGTTTTGAAAGTAACTCCCAAAAAGAAGAAACTCATTTTATTATAAATACAGTGTAAAGTCGCGTATCTGGAATCGGTGGGACTTCCAGAAGTTTGCATAATAGATTTTTCCGTATAATTGACCCCCAAGGTAAACAAAGCTTAAAATGATCAAATAAACAATCTGAATCTAAGAAGCAAAACATAAATAAACATTATTTTTAAGGGGAATAATGTTTTAGTATTAGAATATCTAATCAATCAAACATAAAATATGTATTAGAAAAAAAAATATTATTGCTAAAAATATAGAAAACAAAAAAATTTGACAGTTATGAAAATATTAATACGCCATTTTGAACTAGAACGGTTCAAGCAGGAAGGGGAAATTCATTTCATTCTGGAACAAAGCTTAAAATGATCTAAATCTAAGAAGCAAAAATAAATAAACATTATTTTTAAGGGGAATAATGTTCTGGTATTAGATTATCCAATCAATCAAATATGAAATATTAGGAAAAAAAATTATTGCTTAAAATATAGATAACGAAAAAAAATTCACAGTTATGAAAATAATAATACGCCATTTTTAACTAGAATGATTCAAGGAAGAAAGGGAAATTCCTGTCATTCATTAAGGTGGGTAGGTGGAGAAAAATTCATTTCCTCCTTATTTGTGAAAGAAAATAAGTGTAGAGAGGAGATCATTTAAGATGAGGGTGGGGAAGTGACAAATTATTGTTTTCTCTCCAATCATTGGCTATCAATCAAGCATAAAGGCGGGGCACACTGATGGGGTTCTCTTTATTTTTTCTTGTATGACTGAAAGAATCTGCTAAAGAAAGAATGCTATCCCCTTTTTTCCCCGCCTCCTAAATATTACATGGTCAGGGGAAGAATGAATGTTTCTCAGGGACATGTATCCTTTCAGACCTATTGAAATGTTCCATTTTGACTCCCCCTCCACGTTAATGCTTGCAGCGTTTACCCTTTTCTTTCAATAAAAAGGTTCCAGGAAATGTCTCTTTTACTAGCCAGCGGCATAGGAAAAGAGAGGGGAGGGGATGCAGTTGCGGTCTTTTGAAAACAAATCTCCCTCTTTTCTCAATGGTCTTGGTAGATCTTCTCTTCTTCCCCTTTGTGATTTATGGGTTCAATGCATAAATCAGGGGTTCAGTGCAAGCTAGAAGAGAAAAAGTGTCAAAAGACCTTTTTTTTTTTAAAGGGGAAGATGAAGATATGTTTGTTTATTTTGATTGCTAAAAAGTGTCCGGGAAATCGATCCTTCTGGAAAAGGGACGTCCGGATATGAGACATTACACTAAAACTTATTTAATGCTTCCTAAGCATAAAAGAGTTCTGAAGTCAAATTTATTTATTTAACTGAATAAAAATATTAATTCTTGAAGTATCCTTAAGAGATAACAATTTTTCTACAGATCGCAATGATTAACAAATAAAAATATGTTTGCTAATCAATAACAAAAAGATCAACAATGAAAAATATAGTAAATATTGGATGCCAAAGATGAGAACACAATAAAAAAACCAGATACTTGTGTTTCATCTTAATACTTATGTTAAAACTTGTCCAATCTTGACTGTCCATTTCATAATTAATGAATAAAAGAGCATTTTATCTTGCAAAAAAATTTCAATCATTACAAAGTGTAGTTCAATACAAAATTCAATACAAGCAGTTCAACTACTAAAGATATATATATATTTACTTTAGAGCAACAACACACTGTTTGCTCTAAAATCAAAGCAGTGATTTATTAAACCTTGGAGTAGTACATCCAATAAATCACAAAAAAATATTGAACATATTGAGTAAGTATAAAAAATATTTCGAGCATTATTAACTTTATAAAAGTCAATTTCATATTCAAGCATTTATAGTTTCTATTTTGTTCATAATAGTATTATTCAACTTACAATTTTAAATAAAAAAAAGGTATATTTTTATACACAACATTCATAGAATTAATTGCTATCAGAATTGATTCAACAAAAAATAATAACAAACAATTTTGAAAGTTATTTATATAACAAATTCATTCTTAAATTGATAAAATAGAATCATTTCATTTTTTAATTAAATTAAAAATCAAAACATATCACATGTATAACATCAAAAGCTCTAAATTACATTATGACATGCATTCAGCATAGCTGCTAACTTTTATGAATGTTTTGTAAAATTTTATTTTAATCTTTTTAAGCAAAATTTAATGGTTTTTCTGCATTTTGAATTCAGGAGTTTAATTCAAACTTATATGGACTATCACCATAAGTAAATAAATTAAAGAAATATATAAGGTATTTATATAATGATGTCTTTAAGCTATGGCAAAATAAAAAAAAGATAGTTCTAATAGTAGATAGATAGCTTCAAATTTATAGGCAAAATCATTCCGGTAGAGTAAAAGTTAGCAGGTATGCATATTGGAACACTCCTTGTTTCATGTCTAATTACTTTAACCATCAAAATTAAAGCATTTAAAATCATTTATTTTAATAAAACAAATTAGATTCATGTAATAACTTTCTTTTACCTTCACAAATAGAAATTCATTCTTTACAGTGGATGTACAAGTTGTACTTATTTACAAAACTTATATTACAAGATTTCATTTCCTTTCTTCCATTTTCATATAATAGTTCTGTACACAGGAAATATCATACTTGTGTGCTATGACCAGAATGTAAGATTGGTCTGGCCCATTCAACAAAGTCATCAATTAAAACAGGCCAGGCACCTAACAAAGAGAAAGCAAACTTTAAAATCATTTTTTATAACAAAATTGCTTTGACAATTTTATTATTTATTTCAACTCATTTTAATACAAAATTATAAAAATTAATTCGATTTTGTAACTAAAGATAAAAGCTAAGGGGATACTAAGACATTATGATTTCATGAATTATTAATTTTTTGATCAATCACTTATGGACCAATCAATTTCTGATTTTGATGAAATTTGGTGTGAACATACACTACCAAATACAATAATGGAAGAGACAATAAGTTTTTGATGTTTTTTTTTAAAAAAATTTATCGAAAAATACTTAAAGGATAAAAATTTTAACTTTTGAGGTGTTTAGTTCATGCGATTTTTCATACTTAGCAATAAGATTATAAAGCTTTCACAGGCTTGGGTGACCGACAATAAATTAAAAAAGAAAACAAGTATTTTTGAACCCCCAATGCCAGAAAATCAAACAATAAGCTTGTAACTTGTATCGATTACTTAAGTTGTTACTTTTAATAACCGCATAAAATTTTGTAAATGTAAAATTTTTTTTAAAATTGAATTTTTTCGCTATAACTTTAAAAAATATTTAATGGTATTAAACAAGATTTGTAGGGCAATTTAAAATTAATTACAAAATTTATGATTGAAAATTTTTAAGAAATTGCTAAAAATAGTCTAAGATATAAATAAGATCTTTTAAATTGTGCATGGCAAGAAATTTTTTTTTCTTGTAGAGCATAAATTGTATTTGGCAAATAATGAAAAAGTTTGATTTGAATATCTTAAAAATCTAAAAAGTTTGAAACAATTTTCTAAGTAGTTTTTGTATTTTTTAAAAAGCTCAAAACAATAAAATTCCTAAAATTTCATTTTGTACTATTAAACAAGATTTATTAAAAATGAGACCGGAATTATTGGAGGATCATCCCCCATAAAACTATGTTTTTTCCTTTCTTATACCTTTAAATTTTGGTTACCGTACAATTATTGTAAAGTATTACCATTTGTTATAAAATTTTGTCGTATAAAAGTAAATAAAATTTGTAGAAAACCCCTGACTGTTTTGAGCTCATTTAAAAAGTACAAAAACTACTCAAATAATTGCTCGGAACTCTTTAAATTTTTAATATATTCAAATCAAACTTTTTTCATTAGTTGCCAAATACTTACTTCACTATAAAATTATGAACTTTTTTTAAAATTTTTTTCTGCACATTGGCAGTATAAATACTTAAAAGACTCATATCTTGCACAGTTTTGAACGATTTTTTAAAAAATTTAAATCAATATTGTAATTAATTTTAAATTGCTCCAAAAATTTTGTTTCATTCTAATGTATATTTATAAAGATATAAAAAAAAAAACAAAAAAAAACGTAAGACAATTTATAAAATTGTCCCTATCTCCATAAACATTTACATTAGGTTTACAAAATTTTATGCAAAAATAACTTAAGTAATTGATAGAAGTTACAAACTTATTGCTTGATTTTCTTTCATAGGGTGTCCAAAAATACTTGCTTTCTTTTGTAATTTAGTGTCGATCCCCTAAAGTTCTGAAAGTTTCATATCTGAATGCTAAGCATGAAAAATTGCAATCTCTTAAAGTTTTAAAATAATCTGTTAAGTATTTCTTGAGAAATAAAAAAAAAAACATCAAAAACTTAAAGTGTCTCTTCCATTATTGTAGGGTAGTGAATGTACACAACAAATTTTAAAAAAATCAGAAATTGGTTGGTCCATAAGTGATTGATCTGAAGTAGAATAATGTCTAAATATCAATTTCAGTTTTCTCCCTCCTTTTTTTTCTTTTCTTTCTTGTATCCAAATATTGCATAAATAGAGAAAAAATAGAGAAAATAAAATACAATTTTATTAATTTCTCATACGAAAAAAAAAACAATAATTCATGAAATCATACTAGTGTCTTAAAAACAAAACTTAAAAAAAGTTTTTTAAAAAATGTCAAAAATTAAAAGTGTCTCTTCTATTATAGTAGGGTAGAGCATTTTTGAAGAAAGTAATTCTACCAGTTCTTAGGTTTTTAAGTTGAAAATTGTCAAGTAATGAATGTGACACTAAATATTTTTTAAAAATTGTCAAATTTACATGATTTCAAATTTTTTCATTTAAATGGTAGCAAATCTTTCTGAATTCCAGTAAGAGATATTATCAAAAAACCATTGCAAATCTATAGAGACCTTTCAACTAATATCTTACATGAGTCTCTGGTGGTTTAAGGCAACCTGGTTTAAACTTAGATCTGAAATATCTCAAAAATTTATGGGGCATATTGTCACAATATTTTTCTACCCATGCATCAGGCAAGACTGTGCTATCTGGAACAGAAAAGTAGCACAGAATTAACAAAAGTGATATGCTATATAGTTGTACACTTCTAGAGCTGTAACATTAGACATAATACCCATGAAAAGGTAAGTCAAAACCTAAAATCTTTTGGCCAGTATGAAAGCTCAAACATTTTATGAAGTTCATTTGTAAGAAAAGTAATGTTTATCCATCAGTTTGGCACGTAAGAGGAACCCAGAAAAATACAGGTGAAAGAGGAAATTTCTTTCCTCCTCACCATAAATATACTATAATAGAGCAAGTTTGGTGAGGGTGGGGAGAGGTCAAGTAGAAGAAAAGAATGGTGCTAGTAACTGGAGATTGATTGAATATCTTATAAACAGATTTCTGTGAAAGCTTTGTCGAAACTTACATTTTTGATTTGTGGAATTTTCATTTTGGATTTGCAAAATTCTGTGCATATTTAGAAGAATTTACATCCTTGACTCAATGAATTTAACAATTAAATGGCTTTGAGATTCAGAAAATTACATACCTGTCAACATTGGAGAAATAAGATAGTAACGATCTTACCAGTTACATTTTTTTAGGCTATGAGTAAAGTTTTGACACATCTTGCATAATCATGTAAGTCAAAAAGAGAAATTCAAAATTGGAAACAATAAAAGCATTTACTTTTAGCGAAGTAAAAAATATGTACATAAACTTAACCTAAAGAGGATTAACTATTAACACTCAACATACTGCAGTACTGGTAATAGCACTATCTGTTGAGGAATAAGAGATATATTTTTGCCATCAGCAGATATTTTATCGACAAAATATTTTTAAAAAAATTTCTTCAACAAATACGGAGAAATTTGAGGATATGCAGGGAAACAAGAAACAGTCATAAAATACAGGAGACTTGGCAGGTATGAAATTAGGAGGAAAATCACAAGCCTGACAGTTGTACCTTAGAACATGTTCTAAGGTATAATAGTGGAGAAAAAAAACTGAAGTCAATCTAAATGAATTATCATTATTTTTTCAGAATAACTTTTAAAAATCTTCTCTTCAATAACCACATAAATTTAGTAGTTTTATAAATCTGTCTTAAAAAAAGAGAATGGAATTGAAAGAAATTTTTGTTTACCTCATCTAGAAACTTATTCAATAAGCTTTAAATGCTTACTTTTGTTGTGATGTCATTTATTGGTAAAAATGAAATTTAGAAATAAAAATAATGCTAATGTTGTCCTCAGATTTTTTAGAAATTGTCATTGTCACAAAGTACAACAGGGTGCATAGCCAGGGCTTTCAACAAAAAATAGCACCTTTTAAGTACATTTTAAGCACTCAAAAAAAATTTTTAAACACCATATGCGTTAACAAAATGCAAAATAATTTTTTAAGACTTTACATGATCATGATAAAATAACTAGTTTCTGACAAATTTTTTTCTTGATTATATTATCCACTATAAAAATATCAAGATTTTTCGTTTCAAAATCAGAGGGTGGAAATTAAGCCTGAAATTAAGAACATCTTGCAAAATGCAACAGGGTTGCACATGAGAGTGCATTGGCCTCACCGAACCAGCTCAGTAGAATCACAAGCAGACCCACAAGTATTTTATCAAACAAGTATAATGATTGGCGCTTTCACGCGCTACGAACTGACGGTACGCCGAAATGCATTGTGCTTGAATGAATCATGAAATCATTGAATAGAACAATGGGAAAACTACTCTTTTGCACCATATGTGGCAAAAATTGGGAGAAAAAAAATCTCATTTTCAAAAAGGGAAAATTAAGCACTTTTTAAAAACACTCATTAATAAAAGCACCTTAAAGGGCTTTCAAAACAAGAAAATCGAAAATAAGCAAACTTTACGCACCATGTACAACACTATTCCCTGCTTAAAATCATTTCCTTTTATCGCTTTGGTATTTAGGTTCTTCTGGTTTGTTTTTTTTTTTTATCTTTTACTAAGCAATTCAAGATAAATTAGTTTTACTTAAAAGTCATTACTGTAGGTATAAAGTTATTTTTTACAATGCAAGGAAATATTTTATGCATATTATTTACAAAGTTTCTACTTCATACTTCTAGTTACTGGTAAGCAAAATTGTATACCTTCTTCATCATAGTTGCTCATGTCATCAGATATAATATTACAGAAATCTAGAAGGAGATTCCAAGTATCTTTGGGTATAGATCTTTTATGATGTTCCTGAAAGTTAAAACAATTGCTATTTCAAAGAAAAACAACAGAAATTATTTTCTAGGTAATCCTTCGTTTCCATCAAAATTATAAAATCCAATACAAATTATATTTCAAAATATGCATTTTAGATTAAAACTACATTTAGAATTATATGTTATATAAGATTAAATAAGTTTTATTTTAAAATTTTCATTTCTCAACAATTATGAAAACTTATTTCAAATTTAGGATTTTGCTATTTAAAATAATCCAAAACTTTGTTAACTTTAGAATACAAACATTTTTGGCCATTATTGAATAAAATAATGAAAACAATATGCAGTAATTATTAATAAAAAATTTACATTGACTAATCTTTGAATAAAAACATTTAATATTTATGAGCAGAAATATTTGGATTAGCATAAAAAGGTCCCGAGATATGGAGAAGTATACAAAAAGTTAAATTTATAATAAAGAGACTAAAATTTTGAACATTCCACCACTTTGAAGGTCAAAAATCTAAAACTGCTGAAAATGTTATGCTTATTCAGAGAAACAACATTTTTGTGTTGGATTATGTAACTTATTTAATAGTTAGCACTAAATAAATGGCCAATCCAATCTTATGTTTCAAAAGCAAATATCCAATCACAAGAACAAAATTAAGACATTCAGGTTGATATATATATATATATTTGGTTCCCTTTACATTTCAAAGAAAATGTGTCTATTAGTAAAATTTTGAGACTAAAGATAGCAATTTAATAGCTAAGCCAGCCTAATTTGTTTTTTAATATATATATATATATAGATCTGAAATATCTCAAAAATTTATGGGGCATATTGTCACAATATTTTTCTACCCATGCATCAGGCAAGACTGTGCNATATATATAACAGGTGTATCTAGCAATAGAAAAACAGAGAATTTGTTGCATTAAGCATTTAAAGAAGATGAAAAAAACTTATTCAAGAGATTAACAGAATAGAGACACTGATTATTTAACAGCCCTAGTCATTTTTAAGCACTTCAAATTTAGGATGGGTTACCCAAATTGGATTCACACTAATAAGGGATGAAAGTTAGTCATTATTAAAATTATATTCACGAAAGATTAATTGTAAAATAAATGTTTTTTCTTGGTACTCTATTCTGCTCAGACTTGAAGAAATGCCCGGCAATTTTGTATTTCTTTTAGTTTCCTCGAAAAATATTTGGATTTATTGAATCCAGTTCATCAGTTGATTTTTTTACATGAAATATTAAGATTCAAAATAGCATTGAAAACTGCATCTTGGGCATTAATTGGTTAGTTTAGAATTCCAAACTGTATGATAAAAATATAATAATATTTAAATTGGTTAAATTTTTTTCAATTCAACTTAAGTTTCTGCTAACACTACTTTTAAGTTGTACAATTAAGGACATAACTCAAAAACTAGTTACTTAAAAAAACTCTTATCTACTATTTAAGGCCATTTGGCCAACTATTATGTCAATAATTACTTACTTTTTTTGTTGTAATTAACAATGGTAATCATTCAAATTCAATCGTATTTGAAAATAGATTAAACTGAAAAAGTTTTATTTCATGCAAAAAGTTAAAGCAAATTTTTTATGCTGCACTTATATTCATCTGCCCAATTCTTTAGTAGAAAATAAACATGTTAATATGTTACTATCTACTAGTCCATTAACATGGTTTTCAGTTTATAACATGTTTTGTATTAATTATAATTTAACAACAGTCTAATACTAACAACAGTTTAATACTAACTAAAGCTTTAACTCTTATTTAAATCAGTGCAACCTTTATGGAACTGTTAATTTATAGCAGCAGTCAAACTATCTTGGCAACTTCCAGACCAGTGGTTCCAATCTGGGGTGATTGCCCTAAAGGGGGTGATAGGGCAGTGTTTTCATCGCAGAAAAAAAACAGGGTGAGATTTTAAAAAGTTAAGTGGTATGGAGAAGATGAACAGCTCAAACATTTTTGTCATCTAAGAGTTGTGTTTGGCGTTTCCTGTAGTCCGTTTTTGCTTGGAGCCACTATTCAATACCATTTGAATAATAAACTGGAGGAAGCAATGGGAGGTCTAAAAATTGGAAATGGGTAAAGTCTAAAAATTTAAAAAAAAAAAAAACACACAAAGAGACTTGAAAAAAAATCATTCCTTTAATTATAATACATTTTTAACATCTTCTAATTTTTAAAGCATTGAATATTTCTGCTGCATCTTCATATGGAAAATGTTCTATATATACTTTTTCATCAGCTATTCTCATTAGGTTGCTCAAATGTGTATTTGTTTTGTTTTGATCGTTTCTATTCACATTTGTTTAATTTTCATTCGTCCGTTTTGGAGTAGAAGATATTACAAGGTATTTGTCCATCTTGCATTAATGCGCAAAAAATTTGAACATCTTACATGAAGAAACCTTACCTACGATAAACACTTGGTTGCAGAGAAATGCGTTCTGAAAGAGGTTCGGAGGGATGGTGTTCTGCAGTTCTTAAAAGTTCTGAACAATACTGGTAAATAGGGAAGCTAGATAATGGGGCAGATATTGAAACTAATGAAAGATCCAGGAAGAAAAGTGAAATAGATTTTATTCTAAATGGCAGAATGAGAAATTTGTTTCAAAATGCGAGAAATTTGCGAATTTTGATATTGGTTTATAGAATGCGCGAATTTCTCACGGTGATCATTTTTTAATGTGAGAAAAGAAAAAATATGCGAGAATCTCGCCTTCTTGCGATGTAGTGAAAACACTGTATGGCTCCTCAGAAAGGCGTTAATCCTCAGTAGGGCAATGAGAATCCAAAAAATTGCAATTAATAATAATAATAAAAAAAGAGAGCCTCCTTATCTGAGTCCTATCAACATATTTAGTAACAAGAAGATTAAGATTCAGCTTCTTACAAAGCATTTATGTTGGACATTTATTTGCTTCAAAGGAGAACTATACTTAAATCTAACGAACACAATATTTAAGCTTTCACGGAAATCTTCCAAGCACAAGGCAGTCATTATAGATGTAAAAATGAAAAATTGAGTTTTCTGCTTTTTTATCACATTTTGGTTGTTAATGTTTTCAATTTTTCCAGATAACATTAAAAAAATAAAATTTAAAAAAATTTTCTCCTCATTAAATTATTTCACTTCAAATATAACCTCTTTTTAAAAATAAAATTAAAGGGACACTCATTTCTTTTTTAAAAAATTTCTAAAGTAAAAGTTTTCTAAAGTTCTGGATAAAATTGCTTCATTTTAATTTAAATAAAAATCAGGAATAATTTACCATATATTCAAATTTATTGATGCTCACTTGCAACAATGTACATTTTTTTTCAATGAAAAAGAAAAAAAAGGGGTGATAAGGGGGGCGGAGGGCAACAAATGGTTGGGAACCTGTGTTCTAGACAAACAAAATTAAGTATTAACTATATCACTAATGAACAACAATTTAAATCAATTACTACAAATTAATTGAACACTGAAATCACTATTTAAAATAACATTAATTAAACAAGAGAATCATTGATTAAAACATAAAATAATCATTAAATAAATTATAACATTTATCTGTAACTAAATTAAAAAATCACTAACTGAATAGCTGAATCACTAACAAAATCACACAATCATTAGCTGAAATAATAATTTACTAACAAGATTTGTTCAAAATTCCTAATTTAAAATTACGCAATATAAGAATCAATCCACATGAATTTACCATGCAATTGGTGCCAATTTAGTGTTTGGGTCAAAAAGTGATTACTGAAATGCATAATTCAAATGTCTTTTTTTTTTGTAATAACATTGCATGAAACATATTGGGACAACCGAAAAAATTTAAACACTATATAGGTTTTTGATGATATCGGCAGTGATCAAGCATGTCAAAAAGTTACAGCTCATAAGCACAATTCGAAATTCTTATATCATAATAATGCAAAATAATGGCATGAAAAATATCTGATTTTTTTAAATTATGCCGAAATCAATAGCAATGCTGAAAAATTGATGGAAAAAATGGTATAATCATCAGGTAAAAAAATGAATGATTAAATAAGGGATTTGAATTTAGAGTGTTACGATAATATATGGAAAATATCGAATTGTGAAAACCATGAACAAATCAACAGCAATAAAACTGCCAAAACACTAAATGGATCCAAGATAGATTTAGTAAAAATTGAGCAATATAAGAAATGATCACTCAAATAAATGATTTAAAATTTTCATGTTGCAATTTTATATTTAAAATATTGGGATTTTATTCACTTGATTCGATTTTAGTTAATCAAAAAAGAAACCAAATAAAAAAGGAGGAATAAATATACCTTATTGATTTAAAATTCTTTTATTACAAATTAGAATTAGTAAACAAAATCCCCACTCACAGATGCCTTCATACTGTCTTTCATTGATGAAAAATTAGCCTTATTAAGTCATACTGTATTAAAATATAAGTTTAAAAATATGAGAAAAAGATTACCACTCTTAGAGTGTACAAGATTTTAAATGATTGCGATTTCGGAATTACTATTTTTATTATCACATTTGTTTTTGAGTAATTCTGCCCAAATCCAGACATTTCAGAGTTTTTTATAAGTGAGTCTAAAGTTTTCGAAGCTAAGACAAAGTTGTTTTTCATTCTAGCAAATCTGTGTAAAAAAAAACTCAGTATAGCAAGTAAATGAAAACTTGGATAAAGAAAAAGTGGGTTTTAGGTAAGGGAGAAAAAAAAACATCTTATTAACAGAATTTTGTGAAAATTTTTAACTTCAAAATTTTGGTTTGTGGAACTCTACAAAAATTTCAACAGACTATAAATCTTTGAGTCATGGAAGTTTGCAAATAAACATTTTTGTGATTTGCAGAATTTTTATTTACTCTGTTAAAAATATTTTACATTTGTTTAAATTATATAATATTAAATTATAGAATTCAAAATTTAAGATACCTTTTAATACTTTGCAAGATGAATAATTAAAAAAAATAGATAAATGGTAAGA